GTTTTCCTTTTTAATACGTTTATTGTAAACCGTAAATCCAAGCCAACCACCTAGTACAATTTGGCAACTAACCTCAGCCAGTTTTCATTATCAAGTTTTAATCAGTATTTATATATACACTGGATGATCCGTGTTACTTGTTGGCAACAAGTTAGCGATGAAATAACAAATCATTAATGTTTATTTTTTCAGTTCGTATATAGTATATTATTTAAATTACCAAAATCGGATTCAGAATTGTCCAACAAGGTGAATTATAGTATACATTTTTGATTTTTGCGCAGCGACTTGCCACGATGTAAAAAATGAAAAAAAAAACAAGTGTATTTAATCAAACACCATATCGCAAAGCTAGCCACATAATCACATAATTGACAAACTAGGAAGATGATTGTTTAAACAGGAGAGAAAATACCGTTCAGGAGTTATTTTGTCTCTACATGCGTATCGCGAATACTTTCCGTTCTCGTTTTATCCGATATCAAAGAGCATTCATACAGATTTATTTCACCACACGCATAATAATATTCAATTCTTTTGTCAAGAATTAATTTAACACACGAACATTTAATATGATAGCCGTTTAATTATCCATCAAATATTTCACGAGTTGATTGGCAAACACTTGAGTGCAATTCAACACACTGTCACCGTCATCGGTGAAAGCTAAATAATAATAATAGATTTTTAGCTTTTTTTTATTCGTAGAAACGCCACAACGAGGAGTTAAGAAATCGAGTTTGTCGATTAAGACGTATATGTAAGTACCTAACTGATAAATAAAAGTTGATCGTGTGTACACAATAGCATAGTTTGGCGCGTTAAACGTATTAAAATGTATTAAAACCGTAAACGCGAAAAACAAATTTTAAACAAGGCTCATCCGTTGCTCGGTCGACTAAACGTCTAACGGGAACATCGCGGATTTGTACAGCTAAAACAACAGTATGTAAACGCGTTTGAGGAGCACAGTATGTACGCATAAATCGCAATTCTTGTTCGTCAATGGAAACGATCCTGTACCATCGGCAGTAGTGCAATACCATACGAAAGAATTAATGCTCACTGACGTGCACGTTATACCACATGTGTTCTGGCGTATGCGTTTTATACGTACGAATCAAACGTGCACAGATACTTGAACAATTTTCACATAACTGTTTTAATATTATACGCGGAATAGTATACGTGTTTCGATATTAGTATGATACGACGTCGTTGTCGGTCCCACCGAAGTTTGCTGTAACAACGTTTTTTTTTTTTTGTTGCATTTTCGCGGTATTTAAAAACGAATATGAATCGTCTTGAACACGTCGCGTCTGCTTGTGTATCATCAGCGCTCGAAGATTCGCTAAAAGTCTTTATGTCTATAACACGTCGATAGTCCGTCGTGCATAAAATATACATTACGGTTTAAAACAATTTTTCGTCATTTTCTCGATAACGCGATATATTATTTTCACCGAAATTGCAAAAACAACATTATATGTACGTGTCTGTGAATAAACGCGATATCATTATACGATCACATTTTTTGTCATTATTGCTGAGACTAAATATATATATTTGTGATTTGCGGCCAACAATCACATTTAACGCAACACTCTTGTTAATCCGAATATTTCATGCAATCACGACACTTATAAAGCCACATTATTTCGTACAATTTAATCGTAATAATGAATATATATACTATATATTATGTATCTCCATGCCCTGATATAATACATATTAACATTAACATATATAAGTATATGTTTTAAAATCGTTTGCTATTTGCATTATTTTAAAATTTCCTTGTGAATAAAGTAAAAATGAGAACATGGTTGCTTAATGCAGCAATATGAATATTTATAAGGAAAAATCTTTTCAGAATCTAATTTTGAATACACTTTGTGTGTTTGGTTTTTCTATACAATGACACTAGAATAAAATATTGTAATATGATAAAATCAATTTTCAACGCTATTGTCGCCACGTGTACCACTTCACGGTCGAACACGATTAATTTTTAATAAACTAAAAAGTAAAATATACCTTCAAAAATGTATAATATTCTAATTCCAATACTTATTGTACAATAGCAATCAATATCGAACGATTGCATATTAAATGGCTATTTTAGGGAAACTACCTATCAATTTTAATAACTGACTATCACGTTGTACTTAAATGACAGTTTTTTTTTCCATAAATATCAAACAAATACATATCTAACTAGTAAGACGACATTTTTTTCGAATAAAAAGTAATTATACGAATCTATCCAATGAGTAACTAAAAACGAAATAAAGAACCGTTTAAGCATTTTTCATTATGATATAGTTTAACGGTATCAATCGAAAAATTCCGACCCAAGTTTATTAAAATTACAATTAGTGATGTACGAGTACAAATTAATTAATTAATACAAGTCGTGGTTTATACCATAGCTTTTTATACAATTTTATAGAATAAAATAAACGGTTGTCCAAGCAACACTTGTTTTGCTTGATTCAATTATTAAAGTCCTATAAGATACGAATCAAAAGATCATAACAAATTATAGAATGGTATCAAAATAAGAGAGATACTTTGATTGTTTTATAGCTTTCATGCAACATATTTCGAATGTTTTACTGATTGTTTGTTTTATTCGTAAATTAAAGCTCATAGTTAAACATAAATTTAGAAATCGCCTTTAAAATTAAATATAATCTTTAATTTTTTACTCGTTTAATTTTCAGGTATACGTTTTAGTTTTTGTGGTTCAAACGTAAGAAAACGTTTTTGCGTATTTCGCATACGATGTTAAAAAAACCGATTGTTATGAAAATAACTCATTTAGACTATTTGATTATAAGTATTGAATATTCATTTATTAAAATAATATATTTTTAAAAGTAATATTTAGTTTTAATTTAGATCCATGATTATGGTCACTTTTTACCGTTAGTGGTTTTTTTTTTTTTTTTTTTACCAACATAGGTACATAAGATATTATTCACGTAATTTTATATCGTACCACTATTTTTCTTATTTCTTAATATTATTACGATAGTTATCAAATACACTCTCCAGTGCTAATTGTGAAGTAAATTTCTGCGGCAGACATCTCTTTGAATTCTGTAGAACAAATCGAAGTGCACGAAAACACTAACACGAGTACACCATTTAATATGACATTTTGAAGAATCGTGGAAATAATACGCAAACGCGATTGGTACATACATAGTATTATATTAGGTATCAATACCACACTCAATATATCATTATTCGAAACGATGATGATGATAATAATATCATACTCATATTGACATTTGGTGAATAGACCGTCAACCATATACGAACGTTTTAGATATTGTAAGAACAATGGCACCAAACATCGAATCATCAATTTCGCAGCCAGCGGACGAGTTTTAATAGTTTTGTAATGTCGACCAACGATAATTTGAGCGGCTTTTGTAGCAGGTCTAAAAAGGTTTTCTCTTTAATATTTGCCCGTCTAAACTCGTTATAGGATCATACAACAACGAAAAAATTCACCGTCATCGGATCGCTCTAAAAAACCGAATACATTACATCACAATAGAAGTGTATTTCAAATGTCAGTGCAAATATACTACATACGTAGATATGCGCGCAAGTCGTCACGTGTTTTGAAAAAAGAAAATATTGTGTTATCGAAAAAAAACACGCAATATAGCATATACGTATAGTAGAAACCGTTTATTACGACGTTTAACTAATAATAAATCGAAAAAAAAACGGTTTACACTGCGATAGCAGTACGACCGACCAGTAATCTCGCGAATACACTGCAACTGATTTGATTATTTTTTTAAATGTTTTTGCAAAATCGCCGGGATAAATCTACGCGCAGTCACCGACATATGTGAACGGTTTATATTGTGTAGACAGTAATAATTAGGGTTCGGAAGTTATAGAAGCCAAAAAATGCAAAATATGCACGAAAAAAATTAAAAAATATGCATAAAAAAGTGTGAAATATGCAAAAAAAATATTTATTTATTTATTAAAAGTTAATTGGTCAATTCTAAAAACCTATAATGAAAAAAAATTGTATTAATGATAACTAAAATATAGCCTATGACCGGTTGGCATTTGAGATTTTATTGAACTGAAAAAATAAGTAAACAAGTATATTTTCATTATTTGTGAAATACGAAATAAATATATGTTGTATAATACCTGTTAAGTTTTTGCATTGAACCACCAATATTTTCGTTAAATTCATAGTAAACAATAAAAAATAACAATAAATCACCACGGAAAATAATATTGAGTTTTAAATAATGCACGTTTTCCGCGTTATTAGCGTTGTGTTATGTAACGTTATTTAAAATCAATTGGTTAAGAATGAATAAAATTAATATTTTTAGAAAATATTAAATATGCATATAAATATGCGAGAATCAATGAAAATGGACAAAATATGCAAGATATGCATTTTTAATTTTCAATTTTTAATCCCAAAATTGTATAGCTCGGTCTGTTATAAACCGAGAGCACACAGAACAATATGAAATTCCTATAAGTTCCGAAACCTGGTAATACGAGATACGAGATACGCGGCCGGTATACAACACGTACTATGAGGATGCCACCGAAACGCGCGATAGACTTTCGTGCGTTCACTTCGAGCGCGGAAAAGATAGAACAGAAAACAATTGAAAAGAAACCGATGATACTATTATAACACACCTGTACGTACAACGCGATGTTGTAATGGTTCCTGGTGAAATAATGGAGATCCCGCCGAGGCGTCGTGCGCGTTTACCTCTTCACGAGCGCGGAAAAGAGAAAAACAAAATAAAGGGAAAGAAAAAAAACCAATCGACCAACGGATAACATGATTTACGTAGGTAATATACGTGGTTATCATATAACCGGTAACGCGATGGTTTACAACCACGTACCCGGTGCGTTCGTGGTCACGCGTTCTGAACATGTGTTTAACGTATAGTATTTAATATTTAATAATCGTGCGAAAAAATTACCTGGTTTCGGGCGGTGGACCACGTGCGAACGGAACGAGACCGCGGTCGCGGTGGCGGGTACGGGTTGTCGGCGGTCGCGGAGCACGCGAGGGGCACCGGTGTGCGGAAAAGACGCGGCGAGCAGAAAAAAAAAAAAAGGACGGTACGCGTTCAACGGCAACGGCGTTACTGAACCGACGGCGAAGCGGCGCGGTTTTCTTTACGACCGGAAACTATGTGCGACCGCCGCCGACGACGCGATACGCAGGCGCTGCCGGCACAACGCGTGTGCGACCGACCGCGCGCCCGTAACAGTGTGTGCGAACGGTCAAACATTTATTTTTCTCGCGCGTGCGGCATCCAAGTCACCGCTACGCACGCACGTATATTTGGACGCGAATAGATCCGCAACGGCCGACGGTTTTCTTAAACTCTTTCGCTTTTGGTTTCGAAACAACATTGCCGCGATAACATTTCAACACGTCCGTGTTCCGTCGGTGACCGTTGAATCGCTTTCACGTCTTATACTACGCTTCGGCACACGTTCGACTCGCGGTCCTGGGACCCGTTCCGCTTCAGGACTCGGGTCAACCTTGACGCCTTTCGAAAACCTCGGTGCCACCGCGAGCGCCCCGGGCCGCCGCCGTTGACGTGCCGGACGTGTTTCTGGGCACAAACGTTGTGAGTTCTCAGGTTTAACGTGTGGGCTACGGTTCGCGACGTGCATTTTCCGACGGAGGATAAGATTTTTCTAAAGTCTCCCTGTTTGAATCGAACGAAATATGTTTAAGCTTGTATGTGATTACGACGGATTGTCATTTTTTTTTTTTTTATATATTCGAAAAGTCCTTTTAGACCTATCCGTCGCAGCACAATATCGAATATGTTTTTATGCTTATTATTAAAATGGAGCGTTTTCAAATCGTCTTCGTGAACACGGTATGAATAAGCAACATACGATTTATATTATTTATACACATAATTATACCTTGGATGTGTGTTAGTCTAATATTTCCCAAGGAAAAAAGAAACTGATCGTATTTCATTCATTATAAATTATTATAAAATACGTTTGCGAAGAAATTCACGTTTTCTTGATCGGAATCAAGATTAATAACAATCGAGTAAACATGGTTTACATTTGAAAAATGTGTACGATTCATAAGCGAAATCTATCATTCAAATCTATAAGATTGAAATTTATTTTAATAAATACTAAACTTGAATTTTTGAATTAACAATTGCAATTGCACTATATATAGGTTTGTCATTACTTGTTCGTAGTAAGAACGACATAAAAGTGTAAAAACCTTAATAATTTCATATTGGTGTTATGATATTTTGTAACAGTGTAATAATAAAAATAAAAATAAATGCACATTTTATAGTATAACAACAATTAAAAATGAAATTTATTAACAAGCAAAATAAATTGTTCACACATACATACATGGTATAGTGTATGTGAAAGAGTATACAGCAGATTCATATTGTTGGCATTGCACTATACAAAATATGTAGCATAAATATAAAAAATTCAAATAAATAAAACACAAAGCCATTTTAATTCAGCTACTAAACAGAAAAAAATTCACTCCAACATTTATTATTTACACACTCTACTCCATATAATAATAAGTTACTTGACGTGCAAATTATACTTGATTTAATATTTACAGGGAAAAAATTTACATAAACCATCAATTCGTTTTTGACACTTAGTATTTTTTATTATGTTATATAATATTTATTATTATTATCATTATTATTTTAAAAAGTATTATTTAAAAAAAAAAAAAATTGTTGAATTTCGTTGACCGTAAACGTCATAACAAGAACGCGGAATTCGATAATAAATGGAAACTCAAGATTAAAAGTAGTCATACTTTTGTTAGGGAAAAACTAAAATGTAAAAGCTCATGGTAGATTTCCGAATTGAAAAATAAACAATTATTATATATGAGTATAATTTATCGTTTTAGTTTAGCAAAATCGATACAACGTTTACTACACTATTTCAGCAGTAGTAAAACAACGCAAACCACTGTGTTTATTATATTCAGTAATGAATAATTTTCAAAACCATACAAATATTGATGTGTTTATGGGTCATGGCATAGCGTATTATTATACTAAAACAATTATAACAAAAACGTGCGAAAACAATCGATACAATACTATGGGCAGAACGTTATACCAAATGCGGAGAATTTTTAAAAATTCAAATCGAAAATTGGTTCCCGACGCTTATAATATACGTCTATATTATATGAATTTGGTCCGTGCACATATAATGTAAAAAACAACACTCGTGAACATTGGATTACGATTATTGATCGCACAGCGATGGTATCCGACGAAATCATATTTAATATCGTTTAAATAACACTGTAGTTTTATACCGTATTTCATCAGGCCCGAAGCTGTAAAGCTTAAATACACAGTTCACCTGCTGAAACGAAATAAAAATATTATTATTATGTATAAAACAAAGAAAATTACGATGCATTAATATCATCGTAGAGTCCGTTTGATAATTTATTCTTTCGTTTTGATACGATTTTTGATTTCTTTCGCGATTCGCGATTCTTTACATAATAATATAAAATAATCAACATAATATTATTTTGAAAGTGTCCAAATATAATATCAAATTCATATCAAACCAGTGCTTCGGGGCTGAAATGTTTGAACAGAAAACAAACTAGTTTTTTTCTTCCGTTATTGCTTTAAACGCTTTTATAGACTGTAGTTATAGTGTTAAAAAAAAAAATCAAATCTTATAATACGAATAAATAGCTTATGAAAACCACTATATATATGTATATATTATTAATAATAATATTCACATTGCTTTACCTAAATGTAATACGTCAGATATGTAGTATGTTAGTTTTTTTTATACAATTCGTAAACGTTTTCGTTTTCTCATCAAATGAGTTCGAAATAGGAAAACCAAATTACAACAACAATATTAACTATGTTACATCATCAACATGGTTATGAAGATAAGGTTTTGTCGTGCTTAAAAATATTTGGAAAAATTGCATAATATTTTGATTCCGATTCTTCTTGAATTGTAGTGGAACGAAAAAATGTATATCTTATATTTTATCACCAAGGTAAGATAAATACCTATACTGATGAATCTAACTATATTTTTGTATCTCATAGTAATACATATATTTTATATAAAATAATTTAATTTACAAGTGCTTTTAAAGTTAAACGTAAAAAAGGGCGAAACTCTTAGGTCGGATGAGATACCACAGTCTTATGACATATAGGGATGGGTGAATGATATTGTTGTGTATATTTTTTAACTTGAAACCAATCTACCATTACCCAAGAAAAAACGGTTCTGAGTGAAAAAGATCTGCTGAATCAGTTCATATTTCTAAAGATAGTTAATATAGTAGAAGAATCAGATTTCTTAATAAGGTAAGTTTAATGTTCTAATTTTCGTGAAAAAAGGCATCTGAAATTTGGGAAATTCAATAATTTTAAACATACAATATAAACAGCATAAATTTCATTAAAAAAACATTCAAAATCATAAAATATCTTTAAATAAATAATTTATAGCGTTTAAAAAGGAATAAGTTTGTAAATCTTCATCGAAATGAAATTTTGTAACGTTTATAAATCGTTCTTAGTTCTTAACAGTATTTTTCAGTATTTTTTTTATTTATTTATTTATTTATTTTTTTTTTTTTTTTTTTGATACAAAAAAATCATATGAAAACTCTAATATTTCAATATCATAATGGAATTTTTTTATGCATTTTTAATAATAAAAATGTAAAAGATTTTCGTAATTTTTATAATTTTGTCAAAATGTAATATTCAAAGGCTTGTCATATTAATTTATTTTTTTTAAAAACCGACGATAAAAACAAATCCCGACACATGAATGGCGTCCCGAAATCCCTTTTCTACGTGAATTGCGTCCTAACGTAAAAACATTATTTTACTTCCTATTTCATACAGACTTAGAACTGTCGATAGTATATTATGACTATCGGTAGGTTAAAAATATTGATTTTTTTCATTGTTATGCTATTAAAAATAAGTAAAATAAAAATGTGTATGTTTAAATTATAGAAATGTAATATAATAATTAAAATAAATAATAATAATAAAAAAAAAAAGAATATATTAAATTAATAAAAACTGATAAAAGCCTAATTATAATTAAAATGGATTAATTGGCTATTTTCATATATTGCTATATTTTGTCTTAAATAATCTTCTTTTCCACATAACATCATCCGTCTGTTTTTAATTATACGAATTCTTCCTTGTCTAATATAAGTTTCCTTATGTACTTTCTGTAAAACATTTATGAATTGGAATATATTCAGTTGTGCTGAGTAAAACATACTTTTAAACTTGGAGTGGAAAGCTTCACAATTATTGAAATTATAAAACATGAATACATTACTACCCACACAGAAAGTGAGTGATCACAACAAAGGTTAATGTATAATCGGAAAATTTCTGTACTTTTTCATCTTCGGGTAAAATTGATACGATATTGTCAATAAAACAATCCTCTCTTTCATCTTGTTTTAAAAATGGGAGGCCAAAAAAATAATTTCTTGTAGTCATTTAAATAAAACCGGACACAATTCATGTGGTCGTTTAGATTAAGACGAATGCAATTACTTATCAAAGTTTTTTTCGGGACTCTATTCGTGTTTAACCAAACAAATATTCGATTTTGTCGAAAACCGGTTTGGCGCAAATTTTAACATTTTTTAAAACATTTCGTCGGTTTTCGCAAGTATTAAGAAAGAAAATTTCTAAAAAAGATCTATCAATATTAATAGTTAGATAATATTTCATATCATACATTTCTTGAGTTTGTGATGAATAGAGGAACCCTTTAACTCAAAATTTTACTCACACACGCAAAAGCACACATCACTCGGAATGAAAAATATACGGTGTACTGAATTTATATCATGTTACGCCGTACGCAGCAATCGATAGCAGGTTTCGTAGATCAACATACTAGGATTCTGTAGAATATTAACTAAACATAATAACGTAGCTTGCTCGAAAATAACGAGCTAAGGATTACGCGATCGATGTCTAAAAATTGAAAAAAAATACATACTAATAGACCGAACAGATATTGTTGGGAGATGAAAAAAACTCTTTTGATTCTATTTCTTCTGTAACGGCGTTGACGTGTTTCGTCTGCATCTTTGATCAGCTACGATCCGATAAAACGCGAAAACGCGCAATGTTTATTAATCTTACACGTCACTCATTTGAAATGTCGGCACATGGTGCGCGGTAACGCCAACTTTATTTTCGCACCATCCGACATTTTC